GCGGCCGTTGTGCCACAAAGTAAATTTACCGAGTTGTGTAGCTCGGCAGCCGTTGTGCCACAAAGTAAATCTACCGAGATGTGAAGCTCGGCAGCGCCATTTAATCATGACTTGTGATATTTTCGGCACCGGACAAACGAACGAACACTTTAACTCTATGTTATTTATTAGGAAAAACTTATAAAACAGCCGACAGTAGCGCCACTCTCGAGTCACTGAAATCAACACGCTCGACCAAATTGCTGGAAAAAATATTGACGTGAGCCACACACACATTCCATTGAAGGCTTTGACAGGGTTAGTGCGAAGTTTGAATTCAGATGTGAAAGCTTTTATAATAATAATAATAATGATCGTTTATTCAACCTTTTTGCAGCATAAACTGAATTACAAGGCGGGTCATTAATTACATACAAATACCTCGGAATTATGACACGTAAATATAACTGTTATGCTGAATTCAATTTAATTCAATTTGTCAACAAGTTGATGATTGGATGCTCTTAAACTAAAAACAGAGAAAATTATCCGAAGAAATGTTTTTGAAGAAAGAAAAAGAATGCCAGGTTAAGCACTAATCGGCCTTTGAGCAACTGCGCCAGTAAAACAAAATGTTCTATTTACACGCCCGACGCACTCTGGCCAATGTCTCCTCCGATTACAAGCACTTGACACCGAACCATACGATATCTTTTCAAAACCTTCTTATAGTGATACACAGTTTAAATAGAGGTTTTGTTGTACGCAACCCTTACGTTCAATATAAACCATAATCATATTTATCTATATCGCAACCACCCTTCCCACTCAACTGCTACCTGTAGGCCTAACAAACATATCGAACGCACTCTTCTGAACTCCGATTACTCCCAGAATAAAGGTTCGTGTTTAAATGCTGTAAATCTATGGTCCTCAATGAATTTGCTTGCTGGCAAAAGGGATCCTTTGGACTTTGTCTTGCTGACTCATTCCCTGCTAGCCTCGTCGTAAGAGACCTCTGCTAGCAGGGAAGCTGGTTCAGAGGAGGGGCTATTTTTTTCCCACGAAAGTTAATTATTAACCATAAACCGCTTCAAAGGTGCCAGTTTGTTGTTCGGAAACGAAATAAACCTTGGAAACCAATATGAGTGGACATTTTAAACTGGTGTGATACATATTATTTGAATGTAGAAATACACCCATTAGGTATTTAAACATAGGTGATCAAAATTTATCAAGCGAAAAAATGTCTTTAAAAACATTTCAAAGGGGCAATTACATTTGATTGACTTTGTGTAAAAGACAACACCTTGCCGCTTAAACTTCCTGTTTAACTTTTTGGTTCACGTATTTTTTTTTTTTTTTTGCAATGGGCGAACGGCGTAGGTGCAACAAAAACATGCCGTTTTTTTCTTTGCTCAAGTTCTTTTGACGACGTAAACATTACTGTCAAACCTTGGGGTGGTGCTAAAAATTCAACAGATGTTTATAATTGTCCGTTTTATTCCTTCCTTTTTTTCGGCAAAACCTCTTCTATAACTTAGCGGTTCTGCAGTAATTAACAATTGTTAGTTGTACAGTTGTACTTCACATACCTACGTCCCCAATATCCGTCCCTGAGTTTTATTTACCGCCCAACCTTTAACAATACTTATAGCCACCACCGCGGTCAAACGTCTGAATCGTTATTTTTGTTTTTTATTGCTGGGATTTCATTTACCAGTTAGAGAAAAATGGGCAAAGATGTATAAATCACTTAGTCAACATAACTATCTTTCCATTTTTCTCAAAATTTTGAGCTTTTTTCGCTGAAAACACTCCTCGTTAAAAGGAATCATGTTTGAAAATGGTGCCGATAATAACGTCAGCATCGGTTTTCAATCACTTACAACTTTTTTAGTAAACTTTTAAAAAGTTTAGTAAACTAACAGGATGTTGGTAATACCCTAAACTTTCGATAGTGAAAGTAGCAACCTTAACTTTGAAGTATTTCGCTTAACTTTTGCAAATTTCACTCGTTTGACCGCTGTGAACTTATAGCCTATGCTGTCACATTTCGCAGTCATGCCAGACTTCATCCTCAGTTAAGTACGCCAACGGCAGTCGTAGTGATTTTTTATTCGCGAGTGTTTTACGTACCTCTAAATCTTAACATATTCAGTCAAAAGCACATTTTTGGGCCTTACGCCTGTACAAGAGAACATTTCGTGAGTCTTCTAAGACCTTTTCGATAATTACTACTAAAAATACATTGATAGTCATGATACATTTATTCGCGAGTGTTCCACGAACCTCGCACTCTTAACTCTTCAACTAAAACCACATTTTTGCGACCTACGCCTGTACAAAAGAACATTTTATGAGTCTTTTAAGAGCTTTCCGGTAATTACTGCTAAACATGAAACAGATAACTGGGTTGATAGCACAGTACGCGGTATGCATATAAAAGGTGACATCATAGTATATCCAGAAACTACACGATAAATGCGTGAAAGTGCCCTGATACTGTATGATTAAAACGTTGATAGAGAAAGGTAACCAGCAAAACACAAACACTGTTACGATAGCAATGGACATTTGAAGCACGTTTCGGTTTCTTCTGTCCCGCTGTTGCTGACTGTTGGCGGACTGTTCACCTGGGTGTACCTGTTTCTTGAGCTTGATAACAATGATGGAGTAAAGAATGACTAGCAACAGCACAGGGATGTATGTAAACAGAATGATGTAAGCTAGTAGCAAACTGGCAAGGGACGTTGACTCCCCGAATACTTTCTCCCATTTAGAAACACACAAGGTTCCCTCTGGGGATTCAACGAGCTCTCGGGCGAACAAGACTGGCGAAGAGATAGCTACGGCAACTATCCACGTGGCAAGAATGAAGAAGGGACACGGCTTGGATCTGATGAGTGGCGAACGGAGTGGAAACACCACGGCTCCAAATCGATCCACTGCTATAAGAACCAGATTCTGAATCGAAACCTTAACGGAAACTTCTGTCAAGAAGGGGACAAGCTTACAAAAGGCCTGGCCAAGCCGACCACCGATAAGAAGCGAGGTGGTAAGCCAGTGTGACAGTGTCCAAGGTAGCCAGAATATTGGATACAGCAGATCAGATGAGGCCATGTTTGCGATGAAATAATTTATCGGTTTTCTTAAGTTCGGCGTTTTATAAACGATCATAACAATGAGAGAATTTGCGGTCAGTGAAACGATAATGAACAGACAGTAGGTAACGGTTCCTACGATTTTCCTCCCAGTGAAATTTAACTGAGCGGAGCAGTTCCAAGACGCGCTGGATCCGTTCGCCGTTGTGTTCATGCTGAGTTTTGCGACGTATCTACAGAGTCGTACACATGCAGTCAAGTAACTTTGAATTACTGCTCTGTATACTGCGTATGCTGTTTGAATGGCAGAACTTTTATTGACAATTGCAAGCCCCCTGCGAAGCCACAGCACAGCTGTCCTCTGAGGCCTTCAAAAAGTGACTTTGAATTCGGTTCCGGCATTATTCACCAACAGACCATTTGACAGAAACAGTGGGGTATTAGTATGTTATAAACCAACCAGAACACTTCATTTAGGCCAGGTGGTTGTATTAAGAAGATGATTAAACAAGTGCGTGCGTTTTAACACACATTAAAAAATGATATCTTTGGTAGTACCATCATCAACTATACAAGTTTGACAGTTAACCACAGGGAGCAGAGGCGAATTCGAAGCTGCCTTCAGGCCATTAAGCCCAGGCTTAACAGGTGAATATGAGGAAAAAATAAGTGCATATTATCACGTGTACATGAAACATGATGTTTTTATAACATTTACTTCTCGATCGAGCTAAAAATGGGAAAACCAAAAGTCTGCTGTCGGCAAAGAGGAACTAGCAGGTTCTTCTTACAAGGGCTTCTTCAGACTCTTTTGGCTGCTGAGTTTTAGTTGTTACAAAATTCAGTGCTTGTTGGGTACAGCTCTTTTTTTTTTTTTGATAACGTTGTGACACTTCATTTAATATGTATATACGTAATAGCGATTACTACTTTTAGGGTTCCAAAAGGGGCGTTTAATGACGGGATTCATTTAAAGAGAAAGGACTGAGTTAATTGTCATTTATGTAGCAACCTAATTTTCAAAACTAATGTGCTTTCGGCGAAAATGTCAAGGGAGCTTATGAATAGCGGAATACCCTGTCTATCAATGTCTACCGCCTAGCTAGGCTGTCTAGAAATCCTTATCCGCTCTGGTTCAAATCTCAACTTCTATGTCAGAATCCTAGTTCAGGACCAATGTTATGTCATCTCTAATCAATTCTAACTTTTAAATGGAACTTTAAAACACTGAACAAGATGCACTGTTCAAAGTCTTGTTAATCAAGCAGGCAACTGAATAATTTGAATGATTTTGCTCTTTTCTGCTAATTTCTAATAATTTTTGAAATAATTTTCAGGGAGGCGTCTACTAGACAAAGGATGTTGATTAGCGAGGGCGTCTAATGCAAACATAATATCGTAGAGCGGCCCTTATTAAATGAGCCAAGAGGCGTTTGTTTGAAAGGAGGCGTCAATTAATCATTAGATTAATTTATGGTAACTCATCAATGCCTAAGTAAGCCTTTTGTAATTTGCTAGGAGAGACTCAGTAGCATTCAACCTTCAAATTATTTACTTTGTCTGAAAGAAATTCTTTCTTAATTGCTCCTTTAAGCCCTTTCAAAGCTTTGGTTGTCCAGTCGAAATAACACAATGGGAACAACAAGAGAGAACAAAGTATTGGCTCCTATACAAAATTTAAACAATAACAGGGAGAAAGGTACGAAAATTACAGTTTCAAAATCATGTCAGTTTGTCGATTTTCAGAAGGTGGTAATCGAAAATAATTGGCTAGACTTTTGCATAAATTAACTACGGACAGATCGGGTCAATATTGTTTCATATGGAACGGTGCAGACTATTTACTCCTGAACCTTTTAAGCTTCCATATTTTAATTAAGTGATTATTTGGTAAGCGGCAAATTCAGGAAGGACAGATCTTTCCACAGAAGGCAATACGTGCCAGACAATAGAGGTTACAACAGTAGATGTCTATTCCATACCATCATTATTATTTTTTTATCTTTGTTTATTTAAAAACTATCAACTGCTTAACTTCGATCGACAACAAGGAAAGACTAACACACTAGCTAAAAAAAGCCATAAACAAGGAGGATTAGATAAGTAATTTCCTTAAAATTCACATCACGACGAAAGGAATGTTTAGATCGATTCCCGAGGAACCGTAAAGTATTCACATAAGAAATACACAAAGGTATCCAGAATATTGAATACAGCCATTCAGATAAGGCCATGTTTGTGATGAAATAAGTTATCGTTTTTTTAAGTTGTTCATTACAACGAATTCATGAAAGGAGAAGGTTTCGTTTGATCACTATTTTAGACGTTGAAAATGCAGTGTAAATTGAAACAAATTAATAAATGTGTCTTTGTGATATCTAACATTGAATCCTGATAAAATATCCCTTAGTTAATTTATCATGCAGCGACCACTAAAGGTAACGCGAGGTTAACGCGCACACGAGCCAAAGGTCCAAACGGTTGGAGGTTATTCCGGTTTCCTCAGCATGAAGCATGTTTAGAAGAATTGCTTCTCCCCTCTGGACGGGATGCTAGTCCATCTCAGGGTTACCCCCTAGCTGTATGTCGCCGGTACCCATTTATACACCTGGATGAACAGTGAAAAAATGGATAGTGAAGTTCCTTGTCTAAGGAAACAACGCGACGGGAGAAGCTTGAACCCTTGTGTTCGAGGAGGTAACCACTCGGCCACACACGCCTCCAATGAAGAGCATCAAGCAAATTTTAAACATAAAGGAGAACCGAATAAGGCTAAGGGAAACCAAATCTAAAACTTCTGCTGCTTGCATTTTCAGTGCTGAACGGTACATATCAGGATTATTCGTTTTTATTATTAATAAGTTACTATTATTATTGTTATTAATTCTTCACTAGTGTAGGGCTGTTAGTGTATTTTAATGTGTTGAAAACTCCCATTTCAAAACGTATGTTCACAGGTGGCCCAGACGTAGTATGTGTCACTGAATGAATATATTAATATTCACATGGACAAATTATAAATGCGATGAGTCGTCGAAACTCCAATGAACTAAAATAGTCCAAAAGTCAAAATATAACAAAATAAAGCTAAGATACCTTTAACTGAACGTATGCTTGTCTTTCCTGGGGCCCGTTTCTCGAAAGTCCCGGTAACTTTACGGGCCCGAAATCAAATACAGTATTCAAATCGAAATATAAAGAATAAGAGCGCGGGTCCTGGCTAGCAAACTACTCCATTTTGTTTCATTAACTGACAGTTTTATCGTGTTAGATGCAAAACTATTGAAACCTCGGTCTTTAATGTAAACGGAGACAGCTTACTGGGCCCGTTAATTATCGGGACTTTCGAGAAACGGGCCCCTGGCCGGTTAAAGTGGCATTTTGTTGAGTTTTGCAATTGCAACCGGTATTAGCTTTATTTTGTTATATTTTGACTTTAGGACTATTTTAGTTCATGGGAGTTTCGACGACTCATCGCATTTATAATTTGTCCATGTGAATATTAATGTATTCATTCAGTGACATATACTACGTCTGGGCCGCCTGTGGATGCACTGCAAATGCAAATTACAAAAGGCTTACTTAGGCATTGATGAGTTACCATAAATTAATCTAATGATTAATTGACGCCTCCTTTCAAACAAACGCCTCTTGGCTCATTTAATAAGGGCCGCTCTACGATATTATGTTTGCATTAGACGCCCTCGCTAATCAACATCCTTTGTCTAGTAGACGCCTCCCTGAAAATTATTTCAAAAATTATTAGAAATTAGCAGAAAAGAGCAAAATCATTCAAATTATTCAGTTGCCTGCTTGATTAACAAGACTTTGAACAGTGCATCTTGTTCAGTGTTTTAAAGTTCCATTTAAAAGTTAGAATTGATTAGAGATGACATAACATTGGTCCTGAACTAGGATTCTGACATAGAAGTTGAGATTTGAACCAGAGCGGATAAGGATTTCTAGACAGCCTAGCTAGGCGGTAGACATTGATAGACAGGGTATTCCGCTATTCATAAGCTCCCTTGACATTTTCGCCGAAAGCACATTAATTTTGAAAATTAGGTTGCTACATAAATGACAATTAACTCAGTCCTTTCTCTTTAAATGAATCCCGTCATTAAACGCCCCTTTTGGAACCCTAAAAGTAGTAATCGCTATTACGTATATACATATTAAATGAAGTGTCACAACGTTATCAAAAAAAAAAAAAGAGC